CTCTCTACAGATTGGCATATTCTAGATATTTCATATAAACATAACATGCAGACTTGTGATTGTTGTTGTGCCATTGAGTCCATTGTGACTCACAGCCACCTTATGCACAATAGCTGTGAAGCCTGCACTATTCCTGAACCAATCCCACTGTCTCAGACACACCTACCACCATCGCCCCAGTGACTGAGTTGATCTATCCAGGGTCTGTCTCTCTTGCTCTGTCCCTCAACCCTTCAAGGCATGATGTTCTTCTCCAAGCACTGGTCCCTCCTGACACCATGCCCAAGGGATGAGAGATGGAGCTTCAAAATCATTGCCTCCAAATAGCATCTTGGTTCCACCCTCTCCAACACCTGTTTATTCTCTTGGCAGTCCATGGTTTGTATGTTTAATGCTCTGTTTCAGCACCACAGCTGAAAGGCATTGATTCTTCTTCTGTCAGCCTTAGCCACTATCCAGCCCTGATGTGTGTAACAAGAAATTGTGACCATGTAAATCCAGACCATGGTCTGGTCTAGTGCATCTTAGTCTCGAGACTGACATCGTTGCACTAAAGAGAGGTCCCTGACAGCAGATTTTCCCAGTGCAGTTCGTCTTTTGATTTCCTGATTGCTGATGACACGAATGTTGATTGTGGACCTGAGCAAACAAATTGTTAATCATCTCAATCTCTTCACCACCTGTCTTGGTGCAGCCACTTAGCTCAATGGTGAAAAAAAAATCTTTGTTTTCTTGATGTTGAGTTTCAGTCCATACTGAAGGCTTCAGTCCTTGACCTTTTGCGGCACATGCTTCAGGCCCTCCTCAATTTAGGGAAGCAGGGTTGTGTTACCTGCATAACGTAGGGTTTTCAATGAGTCTTTCTCCAGTCCTGATGCCATTTTCCTCCTCACAGAGACCAGCCTCCTGAATGATTAGCTGCTTGCATTTAATGTGTTTGCAAGGGTCGTCCATTTATAGCGTGGATAACTAGTTCATTACTCTGCATATCAGTTGATGAATTTTGGGGCTATTATCAGTACTAGTGCTGTAATACTGTTAATGTACCCCAGTGGCCTAGAGTAAGAAGCTGCACTGCAATGCCAAAGGCACGTGGTTCAGATCCACCAGCCTCCCCGCTAGAGAAGGATAGGCAGTCTCCTCCTGTGCGATTTACAGCCACTAAAAACCTGCTAGAGGCTCAGCTATGGGTCCATTCTGACTCAGCGGCAACATAACGCGACTATTAATGTATAAGGTTTTTTTATGGATAATGGGTTTCTGTCTCCTGGGTGGAAGGGCCTAGGAGTAGAATTGCTGGGACATAGTGTAGTTGTGGTTCAGCACCATTCCCCCCAATAGCTTTCTTTTTTGGAACACTTGTAGGTTTACAGAGAAATTGCACACGGAGAGCCCTGTGTGCCTGCCTTCCATGCTGTTTCTCTTATTACCCACATCTGGCCCTGGAGTGGTAACATTATTAGAATTGATGCGCCCGTACTGTTAAATTACGGCTCGTAGTCGCCATTGGGTGTAGTCTTCTGGTTGTTTAGCTCTGTGAATGATGAATGACGCCATGTGTCCACTATTACAATATGAAAACTAGTTTACCACTGCCGAAAAATCACTCCCTGCCCCCACTGCGTATTTACCTTCAGAGGAGCAACCCCAAACTATTTTCTAGTAACCACCTCTTACATTCCGACCAGGTCTGTGAGAGATCCCAGGTCCCTGCTCCCTCTGATCTCCCCACCAGCGCTGTGAGAGCCCAGGTCCTTGACCCCTCAGACCTCCCCACCAGTGCTGTGAGAGCCCAGGTCCCTGTCCCTTCTGATGTCCACACCAGCGCTGTATGAGAGCCCAGGTCCCTGCCATACTGTGTGTCCATCTTTTTATAGCGGCTGTCCTACCTACTGGGTCTAAGTGGTATCCTGGTTTGATCTGCAGTTCCATATTGGTTCCATAATGATCTTGGGTATCTTTTCATGTGCTTATTGGGCACTTGTTCTCTGGAGAAATGTCCTTTAAATCCTTTGCCTTTTTAAACATTAGACTGTCCTTGTATTGTTGAGTTGTTCGGCAGATTTCTGATTTGCAAACAGTATCCCCCCCCCCCCCATTCTTGGCAATTCTACTGGCATTTTCTTTCCAAAAGGAAAGTCCTTGGAAAACTGAGCTTATCTAGTGTGAGATGGGTTAATGGCATTATACAGGAATAAAGAGTACATTTCCCCCCTAGTTATACTAGGACTTCATACTTCTACTATGATGGTACCGTTTCCAACTACTTGAAAAACTGTGGGAATTTTAACTTAATTGTTTCCCTAGTGTTTCAGTAATGCCTGCAATATAAAGGTTTCTAGGACAGTTCACTCAGGAAGACAGGAATGAACGGAAGGATGCAGGCTCTTCTCGCCCCAAATCTAGGTCTAAAAAGAAAGGGAGTGTTTGAGAATTCTGTTTAACACGGGTAACTGTGCAGTCAGACCAGTGCTGTTGGGATGTGTGGTGCAGGACTGGTGTCTGGCTCTGTATCTTTGTCCTGCTGCTGGTGAGTTCTGAAGGATAAGGAGAAGCCCTTTCTCCTGCCCCCTTTCCTTACGGTGTAACAGGTCCTGAGAGGCTGGAGTCAAATCCAAAGGTAGAGAATTGTAGAACCAACAGTCTGTGTCCACTGAATCCCAAACACTGATGCCTCCAACTTCTGCAACTTCTACAGTATAGGAGAGTTAGAAGTAATTCTTGACTAGCTCTTGAGACTGTTTGGACCATGGGTTCTGGTAAAGTAAGAACATGGGTTAGGTAAACATTTTTAAGTCTAAAGTCATTTATTTCATAATTGAGTTTTTCTGTGTAGTTTTTAACGATGGTAAAGACAAATGAAGATGTTTGCATTCTTTTAAGCTATTGCCAATTGTCGTTTTTAGAGTTAATGTTTTTGATCATTTTTGACAACCAGACATTTTTATAAAGGAAGATTGTTACTGTTCCTTGTCCTCGAGTCACTTGTGATCCATAGATACTCAGTGCACACTAGTTGGGCACTCTGTCGTGAGCCGGTCTCAGGGTCTGTGGCACGCCCTATGACCCCAGTCACTGTGTCAGGCCAGCTCATCCAGGGTCTTCCTCGCCTGCTTTGTCCTTCCTTCTAAGCATGATGTCGTTCTCCAAGGCCCTCCTGGCAGCATTCCCAAAGTATGTAAGAAGTTTTGAAGTCCTTGCCTCCAGAGAGTAAGCTGGTTTCACCGTCTGCAGAACAGAGCGCTTGTTTTCTTGGCAGGCCATGGAATGAGCTGTAATCTTCTCCAGCACCACAGTTCAAAGCCATCAGTTCTACATCTGTCATTCTTACTCATTTTGCAGCTCTGATGCATACCAAGTAATTGTTAAGACCATGAATTTCACACATCCCTCCCGTGCTTACTCTTTTAGGCTGTCAACTTTTGTTTACTCCCAGTGTAATCATTAGCAGAGGAGCTCTGGTGGCTTAGTGGTAAGGAGTTGTGCTGCCAACCCAGAGACTAGCAGTTCAAATCCACCAGCTGCTCTGCAGGAGAAGAATGGGCAGTCTCCTCCCGTGTGATTTACTGCCTCTGAAAACCTGCTGGACGGTCAGTGATGGGTTGGTTCTGACCAGTTGTAAGCTGGTACATAACAATTGAACATAAATATTAGTCATAGCAGATAACAGCCCTGGCATGCTTTAAGTTATCACCTGTTCTGTACTTAAATGCTTTATATTCATGATCTGTTAAGGAAAATTCTTGTTAATCTGTCATCTCACGTAATACTCATGTGTCAGAATGCATTGTTCTGACGGACGTGCATTTTGATAAATGGTTTGGTGTGAGGTGGGCTGCAGGACCTTGCCTGAGGCCCATAGGCATTTGTTAGGGAGCCAGTGTGCTGGTGCTCGAGGCTGCAGGTCTGAGTCCTCTGCTAGACTTTTAGAGCCACTGTAGTGGGATGCGGCAGGAGTCTGTCGGGAAGTTAATTTCACCAGAGGCCAGCAATGGACTATCATCTTTAACTCCCAAACAGGAAAAATGCTCCTTTCTTCCAGGTGTTCATCCAGGTAGAGCCAGGGTTCCAGGGTCCCTGGGCACTTGAAGGATCCTCCCTGCGTTGTGCCCGATCTGGAGACCCCTGGGCTGGAGTTTTTTGATATTTGATCTCTTTCTTGGCCCTGTGACCAGCCCAGGGCCAACTTGTGAGGCTCTGCCTGACTCTCCTATTAATAAACATTATATAACAGTGTAGCACATGCAGAGGTTTTCCTTTGATTCTAAATTTCTGTGGCATTTTATTTATTTGCTCCTAGGGGGAGGTAGTTTTTTAAGGATTTTAAGACTATGTCCCTCTCTGTACGCTTTGTAGGAAATGTGTTCATGATAGCCAGTTTATTGTTTCTTTGCGTTTTGCAAAATGCAGATTTCTTAAGCAGGGTTATAAGTGTGTATGTAGTTTTAAAAGACAGTTTCTCAACACTTTTGGATTGTTGATTGTTCCCCCCCCCATCACAGAAGTAGCTCATTTAGTGACCACGTGTTAAGGTCCCCCCCCCCCCAATTATTTTGTGCGTGTGTGCGTACTGTCAAATCTGATCTGAATGGTACAGGAGGAGCTCGTCCCTCTTTCTCCAGCAGAGGATCTGGTGGATTTGAACCATGCACCTGTGGAAGATTTCTTAAAAATTATTTTGATTATGTATCTTAACATTATATGATGGCAAAATCCTTCAAGGTAACCTCTTGAGATGTGAAGTCTGTCAAGCTGGAGGTAGTTGCTGGAATGAATCGGGTGTGTAGGAAGTAGCCTTGAATGGAAAACATGGTATAGTTGAAAAATAGATACCCAAGTATTCTATTAATACACAAGGAAGCGTGTGTTTGAAATGTAGCTTAGAAAGTTGGTTTTTCTTTGGTTTTTCCCTTATGAACCTTTTAATGTTTGTGCAGAGAGCACAGGCACGTAGATAAAGTCGTGTCCTAACGTCCGGTTTCTTCTCTTCCCACGTGTAGTTGTAGACCTCCTCTACTGGAGAGACATCAAGAAGAGCGGCGTGGTGTTCGGGGCCAGCCTCTTCCTGCTGCTCTCGCTGACGGTGTTCAGCATTGTGAGCGTCACGGCCTACATCGCCCTGGCCCTGCTGTCTGTGACCATCATCTTCAGGGTCTACAAGGGGGTCATCCAGGCTGTCCAGAAGTCCGATGAAGGACACCCGTTCAGGTGAGATGTCTGGCAATCGTATACATAGAGCTGGGATGGTAACACTTCATTCTACTGCGTGTAGAGTTACAAGCATGGCTTTTGGGTATGTTTGTTTTTTTGTAACTGTTGTTGTTATGTGTCATTGAGTCGCTTGCGACTCATAGCGACCCTGTGTACAAGAGCCCTAAAAACGCCGTTCTATCCTGTGCCAACCTCGCTGTCTCCAACACACTCATTCCCACCACTCCACTCACAGAATTGATCCATCTCATCGAGGGTCTCCCTCTCCTGTGCCGTCCCTCCACTCTCCCAAGCATGATGTCCTCCAAGGACCAGTCCCTCCTTGCAATATGTCCAAAGTTTGTCAGATGAAGCTTCAGAATCCTTGACTCCAAGGAGCATTCCAGCTTCATCTTCTCCAGGACAAACCTGTTTGTTCTCCTAGAAGTCCATGGTATATTCAACACTCTTTTCCAGCACCACAGCTCAAAGGCATCAGTTTTCTTTCTCTCATCCCTATTCGCTGTCCAACTCTCCGATGCAGAGCACGTAATTGGGAAGACTATAGCCCGGATCAGGCGCACCTTAGTCTCCTTTGAGCAGCAGCCTTTGAGGTTTCCTAAATGTCATTTCAGAGGTTCATGATGGATAAGATTAGGTTTATGTATCCGTTCGCCCAACTCTACTACTTCTGTGCGCATCATCCAGTCAGAACTGGCCGTCCAGAGGGTTTTCAGAAGCAGTAAATCTCAGCGGGGAGACTGCCCACCTCTGTCTGGTTGAGCAGCTGATGGATTTGAAGAACTACTTGGCAGAAGATTCCTTCCCACTGAGCCACTGGCTCCTGACTAGACGTACTCATTGCTCAGAATGTTCCTTTAGTGGAAGTTGCTCACCTCTCGTGCTGATAGCCTGTGCGCTGTGATACTAGAAATACCGTCCCACTTACATGCCAGTTTTCTTATCATGCTTTCTCTTCATGCCTTTCACCTTTTTAAAAACAGTCTTCATTTAGCTGCTTTTTTCTCATTCACTAAGGTGTTTATTACTTAGGGAGCTCAGGTGGCCTAGTAGTGAAGAGTTGTGCTGCCAACCCAAAGGCACACAGTTTGAATCTAGCAGGTGCTTCACAGTAGAAAGATGGGCATTCTTCATGCTATTTACAGCCCCTGAGCCCCCCCTGGAGGGTCAGCTGTGAGTTGGTTCTGAGTTGACAGTGCCTAACAGGAGACTGCTTTGTCTGTATTCTCTCTTGGAGAAGTTTATTTCCTCACCACATAGCTGCTACCTTCTGCTCTTAGTTTATAGATGAACTCTAACATTACTGCTCCAGTCACCTAAGCTTAGGTTTGCTCCCTTCACCTGAGATTTGGCACGTTTTTGTTTGTTATTGAGGTATGATTCACACACTGGTAATTCAGCTTCCTAGGATCCAGTTCTGTTCACCATGAGTTCCAGAACCATTTTATCTCCCCAAAATGATTCCCTCCATAAGCGGTCTCTCCCCAGGAACATCCCCCAGCCCCAGGCAGCCACAAACACCTGTTAATTAGTGCCACTGTCCTCCTGGTTTTCAGGCTCCAAGTTGGAGCTTGACCAAAGAACTTAATTAATGTTCATAGGAAACTTGGACCAGGAAGCTGTTGTCCAAACCAAGCAAGAGAACACTGCATGGTTTAAAAACAAAAAAGATGTGCGTCAGGGTTGTATCCTTTCTCTGTACCCATTCAGTCCGTATGCTGAGCAAATCTTACTCAAGAAGTTGGACTCTGGAGAAGAATGAGGCATCAGGATCTGAGGAAGACTCAACCAGGACCTGCCTTACACAGATGACATCACTTTGCTTGGTGAAAGTGGGGAGGACTTGAAGCGCTTTCTGCAGAAGATCAAAGACTGCAGCATTTAATATGGATCGCATATTCACTATCAAGAAGACAGAAGTCCTCACCATTGGACCAGTAGGCAACATCATGATAGATGGAGAAGAGATTGCAATGTCAGTGATTTCATCTTACTGGGATCCATAGTCAACACCCTTGGTACCAGCAGTCAGGAAATCAGGAGACACAGTGGGCTAGTCAGCTGTCAGGCACCTCCCCAAATTACTGAAGAACAGTGATGTCGGTTTGAAGACTAAGGTGTACCTGATTTAGACCACAGTCTTTTTCATCGCTGTACATCTGAGAGCTGGACAGTGAACGAGGAGGACAGAAGGAGAATCACTGAGCTCTGATCTTGGAGGAGAGTCCTGAATATCCCGTGGATTGCCCAAAGAATGAACAGATGGGTCTTGAGGAAAGTGCATCCAGAGTGCTCCTTGGATGCAAAGATGCCAAAGCTTTGACTCACATAATTTGGGCATGCTGCTAGGAGGGGCCAGGTCTTGGAAAAGAAAGGTGGAGGGTCAGGGAAGAAGAGGAATAGAGCCTCAGCAGGATGAACTGAAAGGTGACGGTCACAGTGAGCTTAAGCCTGAAGGAGACCGTGACGGTGCACAGGATCGGACAGGGCTCAGCGCTGCCCATAGCGCCGCTGTGGTCGGCTTAGCAGTGCCTAACAACAGCTTCATCTTTAACTCAGGCGTCAGCCTGGTTCTACCCTGTCCTTAGGGCTCGGTAGGAAAAAATCCCCTCTTCTGCCATGGATTTCTCTAGGTGACACGGACTGAAGGAATAGCTTAGAATCCAGGCAGATTGGAGAGGATCTGGAGACTGGTAGACTTGCCTTTTCAAAGAGGTGTTAGCTTACAGCAAGGGTATTGTTGAAGGAAGATGAGGCAGCTTATTGGTGGACATTGCAGAGGCAGGACTGTGGGACACGGAGTCATCAGGACTATTCCTGAGCGACTATGGTGTCCACAGGCGTGCGGAAGCGGTGGAAAGGGACTGTGAGGAACACCTCCAGGTACAAAGACACCTGACACGTCTGTCTGTGGTCACCGCCGCCAGCGTAAAATGAGTTCTCATATAGTAATTTACTGGGTTACTGCAGTCTGGTGTCCCCCATCCCCCATGCGGTGGTTTCCTTACATTTAACAGCTCCTGCTGTCTGATGAGGAAGCTGGTGCCTCCGGAGGGAGTGACACTGCCAGGCCACAGGCCCGGCCCTCCGGCAGTTGGAGCCCACCAGTCCCTCCGCAGGGACAGAGATCAGGACACTGAATTGTACTTAGGCCATTTTACAGCGTGGGCAGCAAGTGGCGTTAAGTACCACTGAGTCAGCTGGCCCTTCGGCAGGTTTTCAGAGGCAGGAAAAGCCCATCTTTGTACCATAGAGCAGCTGGTGGGTTTGAACCACATATCTCTGCATTGACAGTGCAATTCCTTAACACTGATCTATGGGAACTTTGGAAATGTGTGGAATTTCTGTTGGAAAAATTTGATGAGACCCCCCCATATATCAGCTTACAGAAAAAACAAAAGCAAATGCTACTGAAAAAAACTGAACCACTCACTCCTGTTCACTAGTGCTGGTTTCCTTTTACTCATGGAAGCTTCACCCTTATTTCCACTTTATAAATGAGGAAACTGAGGTCTAATGGACAGACTGACTGTCCCAGAATCACACAAAGAAAAGTGGCAGAGCTCAAGGTGTGAGCCCGGTCAGGAGGCCCCAAGCCCGGCTGCTTCTGCCGCTTCCCCGCTCGGGCCATGTGCCCGGGGTCTGGGGGCTTTAATTCGGGAACAGGATTCACATCTCTAATTGCTGACGGACGTTCAGGGGACGTCACTGCCATCAGTGACAGTCAGGGCACGTTTGTTTTGCAGGGCGTATTTGGAGTCCGAAGTGGCGATCTCTGAGGAGCTGGTTCAGAAGTACAGTAACTCTGCTCTCGGGCACGTGAACGGCACCATCAAGGAGCTCAGGCGCCTCTTCCTGGTTGACGACCTCGTGGATTCCCTGAAGGTCAGTTCATTCTGCGTTTCACTGTCCACACGTCCAGAGTCGTCTGTGCTGCTGTGGGCTGGGAGGAGGAGGAAGCTGTCCATTCCCTTCGGAGAGGCCCATCCGCCCTTCCATGCTGTCCCTCGGGCATGGCAATAAGGTTGGGCCTTCAGACCCCGTTTAGTTTCTGGCCTGGTCAGAATAGATTGAAATGCTTTAAAGGCTTTGACCAAACAAAGCCTTTTATAATCCAGTAAACGATGTAGGATTTTTAGCCGTGTGCCGTTTTCCTTTAAGACTTGGAACTCTGGTTATTTACACTCGATGATAAATCAGTGATAAATCATTTCATTTCCTTATCATTAATATCTCTTGTATATAGTGGGTGGACATATAAGTGACTTACTGAAGCAGTGCTTTCAGGTGATCTGATGTCTGAAGAAAATGGGATATTCTTATTTGGCATATTTTAATAATTATTTCAAAAGAATGCAAAAAAAAAATAGGTAGGTGAGATTGAACCTGTACTTATGAGTCAGGCTGAGTGTCTACAGCCCGGCTGGGGGTGGGGGGAACATGTATAGAGGTTCCTAGTGTTCTGCAGGGTGGGAACAGATGGGGAAGGAATGGCAATTAGCTTGGTTTTGAAGTGTTTCAGTCCGACATGCTTACATGCAGGAGTCAAAGTACCAGATAATAAATCCTATTCTTGTATATTTTTTTTTTTTTTTTTTAAAAATTTTTATTATTTTGTGTGTGTACCATTAAATCGGATCCGACTGGCACAGGAGGAGATTGCCCCTCCTTCTCCAGCAGAGCATCTGGTGGATTTGAACTGTGCGTCTCTGGGATTGCAGTGCAGCTTCTTGCAACTAGCCCACCAAAGCTCCCTCATAGCATTATAAGGCAAGCAAAAACTGGACTTTTTAGGTTCTTTTTTAAAAAAACCCAAAACTTATTTAGCTTTTAAGCCTGTGAAAAGTTTGCTAACAGCCCCAGTCTTTCCTATTTCAACATAAAATTGTGGTCATGTTAATTAGTGCTTGGTGGTGGGGTGTTTGTTTGTTTTTTAAATTACAGGAACAAACTTAATTGGCATCATATTGACACTTTATCATTCATAGCTTTGAAAGTAGAAACTCGATTCCCAATCTCAAGAAATACAGTAGAAATTGTTTTCATCTCTAAGTGTCAGGAAAATGGGCATTGTACTAGTCCTTGTGGCTGACATCAGCAACTTTTAAACACAAAATTGAAATTGTTTTCACAAACATTTGGTACCTTCCAGTTTATAAGATCTGATCGCGTCTGGGATGCAGGATGAATGTCTCATTGAAGCCCCTTCTCCAGGGATGCTGAGACACGCGGAGCTTTCCCTCTCCTTGCTGCTTTTGGGGTTCAGTGTAAGGGAAGGGCCCTCGTCTTCCACATGTGAGCACAGGAACAAGCCAGCTCCAGAATCCCCACGTCCTGGAGAAGCCCTGAGCGATGCCGGGCTCCGCCTCCCGGTGCTCAGATTGGGGCTGTCACCCTCCACCATTGTTGCCACTCTCGACAGGCTTTTAAATCCTAGAACCGATTGTAGCTGGCCATAGTATGAGGCTCCATTTCTGAATCGATGTCTAGTTGGAACCGCTCACAGCCGACCCTCCAGTGGGTTTTCAGAGGCTGCGTTGCCTGTCCTCCTGTGGAGCAGTTGGGAGGTTGGCAGTGCAGCTCCTTAACTCACGAAGTCCCTGATTGATTCTAGGCTTGATGGTAGTTAAATTGTATGGGCAGAATGACATATTTCTAATTTTGCTTAATAGAACTTATTTTAAACATGTTTTAGTATAAAAGTTTTAGCCACTCCCTCTAGATTTGTTCTTGAGTTTTTTCTTGAAGTGGTTTTGTTTGATGGAGTATCAGAAAGCAGAAGAGGAAAATGCATGAGGAAAAAGAATCTTGTAGAATCTAGAGGCTGTAAATGGGCTAAATTCCGGCTGCTCCCACAGAAGAGTGGAGTAACCACACATCTTTCCTTGCACACACCTGTTAGCACCCCAGAAAGCTAGTGCAGTTTGGGGAGCACTTGGGAGGCTTACACAGTGGGGTAACGAAGCAGATTCCTGCTGTACACGCGTTCCAGGCTGCCTGACAGTGGTCAGTGTGCAGGAGGAAGACGTGGCTGTCTGATTCCGGGAAATGCCCAGCCTTTGAAACCCTGTGTGACATAATATCCGTCCCTGAAGGGTGTGCGTCAAAGTTAGGTTGACTGAACTGATCCAAGGTGTGGGGTTCGAATCCATCCAGCCCTGCCTTGGAAGACAGACGTGGAGATTTCCGGAAAAGCTAGAATTGAAACCCTGCAGGTTCCATCACTCATGTGAAGGCAGCATGGGCTTTGGCAGCTGTCGTGCATCTTGTGTGAGGGATCTTTGTTAAGTGATTCTCAGGCTGTCTGAATGTTACAATTCCTGGGGGCCTTTAAAATGTAATGACACTTAATGGGGATACAAGAGGAGCCATGGGGCCTCATGGCCTGAAATTGCCCTTTGTTTGGTGGTCCTTCCTGGGAGATGACTGTTTAAGATGTGCTGATGTTGCACTGTAGAGCCCACTGGGTGCAAGGCGCCCAGGGAGCGAAGCCTGGGGTGCATCGATTGTGCGCTGCTATCCAGAAGGGTGTATGTTTGTGTGTCTGGTTGCCGTTTGTTGCCCCTGTGACTATAAAAGGCACGTGGCTGGGTCCTGGGCAAGGCTGTCTTTCTCAGAGGGTTCCTGCCTCGTGAGTCCCTAGCAGATGGAGACCCAGCACGTTGGGCAAACACCGTAAAATGTTTGTAAGAACATTTCTAAAACCTTCTAGAACTCCAGTCTGAAAAAGTGAGCTCCAGAAATAGCTGACCCAGAAGACCTTGCGAATCCAGTCCGCGGGCGTTGGCAGCACCGAGGGTGCACGTCGTGGGGGCTTCCTGTGGGATTTCTCTGGGTCGCAGAAAAATGCCGGCGGACAGGGCTTAGGAGTGTAGGGACCCTGGCAGCAACCCCAACTCGTGCGTAGTTCTGGGGACACTCAACACGATCAGGTTGCGAGGCACACCAAGGCCGCAGATGGTCCCAGAGTCACAGATGCAGTTCTGTTAAGAGCCTTTTTTTGGAAAATGCCCCTCTCTTTGGAGGCAGCTTTTGGGGTGACTAAGAATTCCCTGACCTAATAGATACAATGCTGCAGAAGTTGGTAGAGGCCCCAGTTTTTTCCATCTATGGTGGGTGGTGTGTGTGTGTGTGTGTGAGGAGTTGTATGAACAGGTCTTCCGTGTGTATGTTAACCTGTCACTCCCAGCGCCCATTTGGACTGTGAATGCAATACCATCCTTCCTCACTTTGTCATTCCTGGAATCAGTTGAGTCACAGTGGCCAGGACCACTACATTTCTGTTCTCTAATGCCTAGGGGTTGATGTGTATGCGTTCCATTTTTGACAACTTTGGATTCTCCTAGGCTAATTCCGTGCGTTCCATGTGCCAATTATTATGTGTTCGCAGCTGGTACCTTCTAACAGCGAGAAAGCCCTTTTTCTCTGTTTTACCATTTTCCGTATGCAGATCCCTACCTTCCCTCATGCTGGTGCTGTGACTGGTCCAGGCACTGAGAGTTCCTGGAAAGCCCTCCATGGTAGTCTTGTCTGAGGTGTCAGTGTTGTAAATGTCTTCCAGACTCAGCTGGAACACTAATAGTCCCATGATTACACAGAAAAACGTGGATTTCTGGTTTCTCTTTTCAAGTGGGAACACCTGGCAGCACGTGGCCTGGGATGCTTGCCTGCCCCCAATCTGTGGGTCTCGAGTCAGGGCCCCCCCGAGAGGGAGAAGGCGCACATAGATGTCTCCACCTCCCTCAGGCAGCAGTGTCATCGGCGAAGCTCCAGGCACATTTGAGGCTTTGCTTTGGGGGTCTCTTCATTTTTGCCTTTAGACTGTGCCTGACTTTTAACATGATGGCCCTTAAAGAGTTAAGTGATGGTTGGGGCTCGTTGGTGGCTTCTTTCCATGCACAGTGCAGCCTTGTCAGAGCCTGGGGCACCAGCTGAGGACCTTTGCCCCACTTGTGTGGCGTCTGAGGTCTTTGTGCTGCATCAGTTTCAGGATGTGTGAACGGCTGGCCTCTGGGCCTGTGATCGGTGGGCTATGAAGACAGTTCTGTCACTTTGAGTAAAGCAGCCCAAGTGCAGAAGTTATATTTAGCCTTTGCAGCAGGGAGGAGGCTGTGCGGCCCAGGGTCCTGCAGCGCGGATGGCAGGTGTGGGTGCCGAGCTGTCCGAGGGCGCGTCAGGGTAACCCGAGCCCCGCTATTTGTGGCAGTGACAGTTGGTGGAGGAATCCTAGCGCGTTCCCAACGTGCGGTGAGTGTGCTGTGGGTTCACCCCCACTGCCCGCCCAGGTCACGCTCAGCACCCTGCTTGGAGCTGACGCCCCATCAGATGGGAACGAGCCAAGTATGCCTGAAAGGCGTGCTTTCAATCAGAAGTCACTGGGCGGCTGTCCATGGCCTGTTTCTGTCCACCCAGGAGCTAAGAATGGTTTTTACCTTTTCAGAAAGGCTGAAAACAAAAGTACGGCTCATACCTTGTGTGACCCATGAAACTGTCTTTTACAGGAAGACACTGCTGGCCCCGCTCCAAGCCCAGCCGGGTTCAGGCTCCCGCTGCCCACCTTTGTCCTATTTATAATGTCAGTGGCTTGATTATCCATTAACGCATTGCTGCAAATGATGGCTGTACTGGAAAAAAAAATGTGTTTCTAAGCACGGTCGTCATTTTAAACGTGCGGCAGAGTGTTAAATCATCACGGGCTGGGTTTAAGTCTCCAGTTTTTAATGTGAGGAGGATTTGCTGAGCCCTTGGCTACTCTGTGATGTCAGAAGTCTTAGAGCTAGGAGAGAAACACAGCTGTCTGACCATTTCTTGACTAAACTGAGTATATATTCGTGGTAGTCCAGCCAGCCTGGCCCAGACTGCCTGTTAAATGAAACGAGAGTCCCAGGATCGGAGACTGGCAGTGCCCAGGGGAGGAGGGAACCAGGCCAGGTTGGCGCCCGCTGCCCAGTCCCTGATCTGTCCCATGTGGTTGTCCTGAAGGGTTGGTGATTTTAGTCCTTGGAAAGTATTTACAGTAGAAACTGGCCTGTAAGAAGTGCTGTTTGCAATAGAAGTGGAAGAAAACTAACCTTTAGTGCTCTTTTTGGTTTTAGGCCAAGTCCAAGGGTTATCTCTGGCCACTAACACAAGTATCTTGGGGTTCTAAATCTTTAACATCCCAGAGGTGAGGTTTCACTACCAGGAACCTGCTTCTCTGGCTCCCAGCCCCATCACGATGACAGACCTTAATGTCGGAATTGTTCTGTTCACATGTATCTCCACTTACTTGGCTCGTTAGTACTTTTAATGCTCATAACTGAATTCTCTTTTCAATGGGCACAGGTTGTATTACGAGGGCAGGGGTTTAAGGTCTACTTTTTCCAATTTCAAGAGAAAACAGCCAGCTGCCTGTGTCATTTGGAGAAGCCAGTTCAAAGTTAGATTTTGAAATCTTAAGAATTTCAGAATTGAGGCTGGTAACTTTTTAAGTGTGGTGTTCATGTGGCTTTACCAAGTTTTCAAGCTCTATGTCTCTCATACAGACAGACAAGTCTGAGAACTTAAAACTTTATTTGAGTTACATTTTTCATCAACTGGTGTTATTTCCTTCCAGTTCGCGGTGTTGATGTGGGTGTTCACCTACGTTGGTGCCTTGTTCAACGGTCTGACGCTACTGATTTTGGGTAAGTACACAGAGCAAGAGAGTGGGACTCGAGTGACAGTCCCTTAGAGACGTTTAAGGACAGAGCAGTCCTGTATTAAAGGGGAAAGTCAGGTACTCAAGTGCTTGGTTTGTTGAAGTGCTGTAGCTCACGGTGGTGAGCAGGCGATGTGGTTAAGGCATCAGACACGCGTGAACAGGAGATCGGAGCTCCGTGCTGTCCTTATCGTCCTCAACACACTTGAGTCATTGCTGCGGTCACTGTGTCAGTCCATCTAGATGAGGGTCCTCTCTTTCACTGACCCTGGACCTTTCCGAGCAACATGAGACAAGATCAGAACTTCAGCATTGCCTCCAAGGAACCCTGCACTTTGTCCAAGACACATCTGCCTGATCTAGGCAATCCATGGGAGAGTCAGTGCTCTTCTCTGTCATGCCTTGTCCAGCTAGATGAAATGAAGCACACTTTTAACCTTGAAATGGACATCACTGAGATTTGTGATGGCTTTTCCAATGCTCTAACCCTCCTCTTCCTTGGGACCAGCAGGCAGGAGACTGCCGACAGTTGCAATCTTTTCTCCATCCGTCATGATGTTGAGATGTAATCCATAGTGAAGGTGCAGTGTTTTTAACCTTCTGTAACAAAGGCTTCAACTCCTCCTTTCAGAAAGCAGAGTTGTGTTAGCTGCATAATGCAGGTTATTTCTTAGCGTTCGTCCGATCCTGATGACACAATTCATTAAATTCCAGCTTCTGGAATGATTTGCTCAGCATACAGATTGGATAGGTACGGAGTCGTGTTCTCTTGCTCTATTTGGACAACAACACAGACTAGTGCTCCAGTTCCCATTCTTGCCATGGTTAGCCATCGTATGCTGCTTTCAGCCAAGATCTATCTGACATCAGCAATAATATCCCTTGTGCCATGGCCCTTTCTAAACCCAGTTTGAAGTTCTGGGAGTTCTCTGTTAACTGTATTCTTCTAGCCATTTCTGGAGGATTTTCCACATTGTTGGATCTCTTCCAGTCAGTTGGCCAGGCAGCGGTCTTCCAGGTTTCCTGGCAGCAACTGGGGAGCATGGCCAGGCCGCGCATGTGTTACCTCGAGCACATCAGTTGGTAACCCATCCACGTTGACCAGTTCTTTTTTGTACAGTGACTGTGTATTCCTTCCATCTACTTTTGATGCTTCTTGAATCATTAAAGATCTTTCTCATAGCATCTTTGAGTTTGAGAGCTCTAGCTTTTTTAAATTCTTCACCTCCAGCTTTCTTTTTAAGCTGCCTTTTGAAATCTGTGTCTCTTCCCACGTCCACCTTGGCCTTTTCTTTATCCCGTCTTTAACGTCATCCCACAGCTCATCTGGTCCTCCATCTTTACTGTTGAACGCCCTCCAGCATTGAGAGGATTTTTAAGTTCAGGTGGGGCAGACTGAAATCTCATGAACTAGGGACATCTCTCTGCAGGCACCCTCCTCCAGGAGAAACGTGCGTTAGGAGCGCTGCCCCTTTGATAGGTTTTAGTGTTTGTTCCCTGAAACACTCATTTGTAATGAGTTTTGCATTTTTTTTTTCTTTCCAGCCCTAATTTCACTCTTCAGTGTTCCTGTTATTTATGAACGGCATCAGGTAATATCTCAAACTATAGAGTTATGTTACTAAGTGGGATTTATGTATGTATCTCTGATACTTTCTACAGAGTTACTGTTAAAAATGTGGACTTCAGTGGCTCTTTTATTGTGGGAACAAGTTGTTAGCAATCGCAACTTTCTAGTAACACCTTTGTACCTTTCTTCCAGGCCCAGATAGATCATTATATAGGACTTGCGAATAAGAATGTTAAAGATGCCATGGCGAAGTAAGTACTTGAACTGTGCAGCTGTATAAAGGACAGGCTACGGCAGGCTTTGCTGGGAATTGTAATCTCTGTGGTAGTATTTCCTTAGTAAATGCATAAGGATTAGACCTGTGAGCATTTAAGGCTTTGCTTACCTTCGGAGGCCAAACTGACAGCCTGTGGGTATCTTTTTTATGTGTGTTCACAGTTAAAATGCCAAGTATTTTGATATTTTTCTTTTCCTTTCTAGAATCCAAGCGAAAATCCCTGGATTGAAGCGCAAAGCAGAATGAAGACGTCCAGAACAGTTAACATTAGGAATTCATTGTTAAGGGGATATTCACTTGATCACAGGGGGGAGGGCCCGGGAGGAATGCGCCTTTGACATTGCGTTTTCCCAGATCTTATTTTTCGCAGTGCAGGGTCAGAGGGAAGATGACCTGTCTTGAGTGCCCTGTGTTCATCATCTTAAGTATTTGTAAGCTGCTCTGTATGGATTGAAACCGTAACTATGTTCGTTTTTCCTGTGTGCGGCACTGGGGAGAGATCAGAGGGAGCTGTGTAGTGTATTTTGTCACAGGTAGTCTTGCTGTATTTGAGGAAGTTGGAAGACTTTGCACAGCTTGTGCGCCGTGGGTGGTCTGTGTCGATTGATGGAGTTTTTCTGAAATGAAATGGTTAGGCAAGACCATACCACAAAAGCAGGAATGCAAGGCTTGCCTTTTTGGTATGTTCTAGGTGTATTGTGAATTATACTGTTATATTAATTGCCAATATAAGTAAATATAGATGATATATATATCTATACATAGTGTTTCACAAAAGCTTAGACCTTGCCTTCCAGCTGCCCGCCAGTGCTTGGATAGTTCAGAGTTGTTGGTTTTTATGTGTTTGGTTTCAAAGCACATATGCTAGCAGCCCTTTCTAGGAGCACCACCATCTGTTTGCGTAGGAAACCTCACCGTACAGACTCACTGTAGTTCATTTCGTCACAGACTCTGAACCTATGGACTGAATTTAATACGCTTCCAAAACACTTTGTTTGCAAATTTCAAATGTTGTTATGCAAGAAACTATAAACAGGAGATTTATACTATTGTGGTTTAAGCTGTACTTAACTAAATCTGTGGAATGCCTTGTGAACTGTAAAAGCGAAGTATCAATAAAGCTTATAGAGTTAAAAGCTGCTGCACAGTGAGAAGTTACTCACGTCCCGGGAGGGTTGTGATTGGGCTTCCGGATGGTCTGCAGAGCTCGCGGGACCTGTGTTTACGTTGGAACCAAGAGTCAACAAAGCACAGGTTTACGTAATCAGATTTATTTGACACATACCAAAATGATTTTAAGTTTTTTTATACTTTACTAACGGAAAATTCATGCACCCATATTTTAACATACAGTAGGCTACAGTGCAAGACTTAGGAACATACATAAAATCAAACCATAGAAATGTTTACACGCAAGATTTGAATTTCCTTGACAGACAGACACTATTGCTCTTAAATGTAGTTGTACACATCACCATTGGCCAAGTCCCCTCAGGTGGCTACTGTCATGAAAGGTCACTAGGAAAGGCAGACCTGGACACCCCTCACTGTCGACAGAAACGAAACAGTTAGGACCAACCCACCAGTGGTTAGTTAACGTAAGGCATTGATAAACTGGCATATAAAAATAGCTATGAGTGACCTCATCCATTCTGGAATGCCGAAGCACTTTTGTGGTAATTGTTTAAAACTGAAAATGCTTCATTTTGCCTTCTCTGCAACAGCAGCTCAAGGTCGAGTCAAGGACAGATGGGTCTGTGTGCGCAGGGCCACCAGCCCCTCGCCTGATGGTCACGTTCTACTCCAGAACCGACTCTGAGGAGTTGGACTTTAGATCATTGATGGCCTGGGCTTAGGAGCTGGTTGTGCAGAGATCTGTACCAGGCCTGCCCTTCATCTAAAGCGGTGCCGAGGATGGTGAACTAGCCTGCACCTCCCACCTGACCATGGGAACCCCCTCATCCTCCTGGTCGCTCCCGAGTTTACGCTTTTATTTCTGCTTTGGGAGCAGAGGTCTGCTTGTTGGAATTCTGTTGTGGATTTGGCACTAATTGAAGGACACCCCGTCCTCACCCCTCCCTCGTGAACACGGGCTTCTTTGCTCCTCACCTTTCTGGACCCACGACTCTCCAAGCACATGGCTGCTGGGCGTTTCTTTGGAGGCCTGGCCACACTGGGCATGGTGACGGGCACCACAAGCCCTCCTCGGTAGCGGATTTTAGCACCATGTGGAGAAAGCAGATAATCTGTGGGAGGCGATAGCAGCCCACACAGCTGGGAACTTTCAAAGGCACTTAATGGATAGAAAACTGCAAATGAAACATTAAAAAAAATCAGTTTCTCCAACGTGCTTACACATGGCTCATTTGGTTTTCAAAAGCGAAATGTGAAGGACAGGCTAGTAACATTTCCAGACCTTGGGGGGGCATCCAACTTTGTCTTGTTCAGTTTACTGATTTGTATAAAGATTGACGTTCTGAAAGTATATAGAAACATAATAGCAAAAATTCTGACATTTTGGAAGCAAATGAAAAGCTACCTATTGGCTAGGGCTAACAGGCACTCCCACATTATCGTGGACTGCTTGGTGTCAGTTCGGTCAGGATGAGTGGCATTTAGTCTCGGAGAGAGGCAGCAGTCCCCCTGCCGCCCAGAGCTTCTGTCCCGTGGTGGTGGCCGTGGTCTCAGCCGGGTCCTGGGCCCACAGCATAGCGGCTCCCAGTGGTCCGGGAAGGCGCCACGCCGTCACAGCCCCTGTGGTTACCAGCGGCAGTAGCAGAAGAGGTTTCTGGGCTTTACAGACATCGCCACACAAATACACTAAAAAAAGAAAGACCATCATTTCACATAACTGTTTGCATCAAGTGGCAGACACATCTCCCAGTGCTCAGAAGTCAGTGTGACAGGGTCACGTACTGACCACTGCTATCTCCAAGAGTAACTAGTGACCTTGCTGCTGGACGCGGGACGGGCCAGCAAGGACTTCTGGCAGCTCAGCTCCACACGCCCCTCACTGCTGAAAGGTTTTATCAACTCCAACTCGAGCAGGAGGGCCCTCTTGTGCCCGCCACGGCCTCGGGGCTGCGCATGTTAAGTCTGTATCCACAGCTCTTATACCAGCCTGTTAAGGGCTCTGTTTAACCCAGGCACTATCTCGAGGGCTCGTAAGTGGAGTGTCCGGCACAGCAGCAAGCGCTCCAGTCAGGCCAAGCGCATCCCGGGGACTGCTCTCCACCTGGGCGTGTGCTCAGGAAGTGGACTCGAAGGGTCTGCATGGGGCTTTCTCCTCCGTCCCCTCTGAAGTTGTGCTTGAGGTTCATAATCTCTGCCACACTTGGGCCCACTGTTACCCTCTTTGCATCAGCTCTTCTCCTTTGCTCACTGACCCTCGTTTCTGAGCACGCTGTCCTTTTCCAAGGACGGGCCTGGACCCTCTTAATCCCAAGCTCAAGGATATCAGACAAGTCTTCACTGGCCTTGCCTCCAGGGAGCACCCTGGCAGCATGATTCAAAGGTCTTAATCCTCATCTCTTATCATTATCCCCCTTTTCAGCTTCAAAGTAAGTAACTGAAAACACCGTCTTGGATCAGGTGCACCTCGGTCTTTCAGTTGATATTCTTGCTCTGCAACACATCTTTTCATTTCTTGACTGCTTGGACCAAAGGTGTCGACTGTGGATCCCAGTAACTATGATGCAGTCAGCGACGTCTGTCTTTTCGCTATCGTGATGTTACCTGTATCATAAGGATTTTTGTTATCCTGGTGTTGAGATGTCATCCAGATTGAAAATGTCTTTGCTAGTCTGCAGCAGGTGCTTCAAGTCTTCACTTTGTGCAACCAAGGTTGTATCCTCTGCATAATGTAGGCTGTGGATAAGCCTTCCTCCAATCCTGCTATCACATTCTTCCTCATGAAGTCCAGTATCTAGAATGATTTGCCCAGCATAGGAAATGAACAGGTGCTCATCCTTCCACAGAGAAGCCACCATCTGCAAATATTGCAGGTGTATTTATTTGGTAATCGTCGTATTAACAGGTCTTCCAAGTGTATGGATAGCGTCACCCACAGTACTTGTCTTGCACAGCTTTGCGCTTCAGGACAGATCTTGAAATCGTCTCTTGACGATGAATGCACCACCATTCTTCCTCAGTGTATCCGATCACATGACTGTGTGGCCGAGGCCAGTGCGTCTCAGCTCACTATGCACCTCACCTTTATACAGTCCATTTCCTCTCTGACAACTTCCAGTTTTCCTAGCTTCGTCCTTTGTACGCTCTGTTTCAATGACTAACGTCTGCATCCGTGTTCTCTTCGTGCTGGAGTGTCTACATAGGCAGGGTCACAGCTGCCCTGGCTCGGCTGGGCCCGACCCCCTTCCCTCCTCGCTCGTTTCGTCTGTAAAATGGTGCTACACCTGCTTTTCTTGATGCCCCAGATGACGGAGGTGCGATTTTACAGGGGTATTTGTGGCTTCCAGGCTGCGGGCTGGAACTCAGATCAGCTGGGAGTTCTTAAAGGGACATCACTGATCACTGCCGTTCTCACCTGACCGAATGTCCCCGAGAGCCCCCAACAGCAGCCACTGGCCTGTCCACCTAGCAGTGCTCAGGGTAGCTATTCACCTGCTCTCGGCTGCTTAACCAGCCCCGTGGGAGCTGCAGTGGGGACTGGGCCCATCGAGATGTAGGGCAGGGTCTCCAGAGACAACACGCCCTACACTTGACAAGTCCTCGTTGCCTCCCCCCCAAGTCCCCGGGCCCTGAGGTGGGAGGGGTGTCAGGGCCTCACGCCTCCGGCCGTGGGGTACCTGCAGTCGTCGCCTCCAGCACTGACCACGTACTTGTCATCGTGAGAGAATCGGATGTTGGTCACATGAGCTGAGTGACCAAAGTAGCGTTTATGTTTGGCCTGTGAACAAAAGAGAAACGCAGACAGCTCTGAGGTCATGTTCTCCCACCTAGCCTTCTCCTGGCTTCCAGTTTCCCATTGACACGGGACAGGAAGTTCAGGTACTGTCAGGTCCCCTCGGCCACCGGAATGCAGATCCACGTTTATGCCCCACGCGTGGCTCCCACCTGTAGCCCCGACATGTGGCCTCCACCCAGCCTTCTGGCTTCCAATCTCCCTTCTACATGGGATGAGAAGGTTAGGTATACTGCCAGGTTCCCTGGGGGCCACCAAAATACACAGATCCATGTTCCTGCCCCTTATCTGCGGCCCTCACACGTGGCCTCCACCCAGCCTTCTCCTGGCTTCCAATTTCCCGTCCACATGGGGCGGGAAGGTTAGGTATTGCCAAGTCCCCTGGGGGCCACAGAAGTGCAGATGCCTGTTCCTGCCCCCCACCTGTGGCCTCCACCCAGCCTTCTGGCTTCCAGTTTCCCGTCCACACGAGGTGGGCAGGTTAGGTAGGTACTGTCAGACCCTCTCGGCCGCTGGAATGCACAGATTCCCTCCTGCTTAAGGGCCATCCAGCTGTGACAACTCCCAGAGACCCCGGGGGTGCCAAGCGCTGGGAGGGGCTCCCAGGGAGACTCACAAATTTTTCTGTGCATGGAAAATCGAAGAGCTTCACCAGCCCGAAGTCGTCCCCTGTGGCAATGTTGAGGCCGGCGTGCGTCACGCACGCACAGTTGACGTCAGCCTTGTCCGCATTCCGTGGCCAGATGCCGATGACTTCATCTCCCAGAACGCTGTGCCGGCAGAGAGGCGGCGTTAGAAGGGAGCTGGGGGTGGGGGGCTTCTATACGCCCCTCTTCCCCCTGGAGGAGCAGGGAGGGGGTGTGGGTGCGCCTGTAATCCAGCCCTGTCAGGCTTTGCTGGCCTGGGGGGCATCCGTCCCCCGGCTCCGAGCATGTGCCCCAGTGCCCTCTGGTATCTAAGGTCCCTTCATCCCCTAGAGAAGAACTTTGCTCGCCTTTCTGTAACCCTGACTGCTCATGCTTGGAGAGGCGAGGCTGTGCTCCTTAAAGCGCCAGGTTGGATGAAGCTGGTCATGTGGGGGGGTCTCACCCTGCTGGGTGGTGGTCCTGGCCCTCCCACCCCCTACCCGAAGGCCTGACAGTGGCCCTTGTCCTGGGCCAGGAAGTGGACGCTGCTTTCCCTGTGACCGTGCTGAGCGAGGTTGGGGAGCTCGACTACAGGCTGTCTACGCACCAAGAGGGTTTGCACCTCAGAAGCCCAGGACACATTAAAACCAGGGGCCCACACTGGACCACAGAGAGCCATTGTCCACGACGTGAACCTGGGGGAGCCCCCTGCATCCTTGCCCCAGACAGCATTGTCCCCCCAGTCACCTTGTCCAGGAAGCCCAGGTGATCTTCTCCATGACCAGGGCATCGGTCACCTGCTTCCCCACGGGCACCTCATGCACCTGCCGTTTGTAGGCTCCTGTGGACACCTGGCAGTGGGAGGCAGCCAGACTGGAGTGTCCCGGGGCTCGGGTCCCAGACTCAGCTCCAGGAAGCGAAGTCTGTCCGACCATGGGCCCAGCACCGCCTCCAAGTCCCTCAGGTGAGTCTCACGTACAGGTGAGCAGCAAGGTTCCCTGGGACCGAGGTCCTGGGAATGAGGCAGGTGATCTGCGAAGTCTCGAACACTTGACTTCTCTAGGCAGCTCTTAGGAAAACCTGACCCCGGTTCCCAAGGACAGGCAATGACCACAGTCTTCACCCTCTGCCTGAAGGCCCCTCTCCTCACCCCAGGAGGCTGAGCTTTCTCACCTCAGCGCCCTGCACAGATGGCCTGCGACACCCGGGGTGCTGTTCCCTCCCCTTCGCTGGCTGACTCCTACACACGCTTCAGACCTCAGCTTAAATGCCACTTGCTCAGAGAGGAAGCGTCTAAATCCAGCTCTGCCGACTCTCACAGCACCCTGTCTCCTTCCTTCTCGGCACGTAATGGCAAGTGGTAGTTTTTGTATCTTCTCGTCCTCTCTGGAGCCTGACCTCCCCATTACGGCGCTGGCAGAGCAGGGACCAGGCCCGCCTGGCCCGTCAAAGGCTCGCCGTGGCACCTGCCTCAGCAGCACTGCAGGAGTGGAGGGACTCGGCCTTCCCTTTCACCGAGCATGTCCCAGGCCAGCTCACAGACGCACGCTCGTTCAGAGTGTTGGGTCAGAACACGGCCAGACCATTTCTCCCTACACCTGCCTCCCAGCCGACCCCAGAGGGGGCTTCTATTTTGACCCTCTGACAAGCTCTGGCTCAAGGTCTGTCATTCAGGGTCGAGTTGCCAAGTGGTGTTTGGAAAAGAAATAGAATGAACAACTCAGGAAGTCAGGTACGGCCTAGGTACGGCCCTGCAGGACCAGACTGCGGGGCTTGGAACGGAAGCTGGTGCGGGGCAGCTCACTGTCTACACCTGGGCTTCCTGTCTTTCCTTCCCGAGAATAGCTCTCTACTATTTTAAATTCTATTTCTTTCCTAAATTCTTTCCTTGGTTTCTCCACTTATAAAATCCATCTAAAGGTAGCAATTCCTGACTCGAACACTCAACAGAATCCACGGTGACTCGTCTGCGTGTTCCTGGCGGCCCCAGCCACCACGAAGCATACCTGGATGTATTTGCTGTCCGCAGAAAAGTCCATCTGAATGACAAAGCTCGGGATGTCTTTGCAGTAGCCAGTGCGGTTCAGGCTTGTCCCCTGGGTGAGGTCATAGAAGTCAACGGTGTGCTCGGAAGAACCGACCGCCAAAAACCGGTTGTCTGGGCTGATCCTGGGGGGAGAACACCCCAATCACGGTGCGGTCTGGTCAGGCAGGAGGTCCAGCTGTTCACGGGGGGCACCTAATGACAGCCTGAGGTCCACCCTGGGAAGGGCCTACTGGGCCCCGACGGCACTGAGACCGCACCCGAGTGGATTAGATGCGCCTGGCCTTTCCCTGAATTCTGAAGAGCTCAGTTTCTCTGGAAGGGCGGACGTACAGAAGCCGTGCATGTAGGACACACCATTCTCACCACTCTGACAGCGAGAAGAGCAAAGAGGGTTAGGAGGCCTCTGGCGTGTGAGGGGGGTTGACGGCTGGCTGCTGCAAAGTGGTGTCTGCCGCCCGAGTATTGTTCCAGCCACAGCCCTTCCGGACGGGGAGCCAGAGACGGCGAGTGCCTGCCCGTCTCTGTCCACACACCTTTCACGTACCTGATATCCTGGATGGCAGACTTCCGGTCTCGTTTCTTCCCCCAGATTTTCAGGCTGTTCACCAACAAGACGACAAACTCGCCGTTCTGCATGCCGATGGCGACCATCTCCCCGTCGGGGCTGTACGCCGCACACCTGGCCGCGTGGCCCAGGTTCACCTTGTTCAGCAGCTTCTGCAGGACACAGAATGAACTCATTTCGGCCTCTGGCCCCTCAGCCAGTCTTTAAGGAAAACGGTGCAGACAGAGGCGAGAGCCGTAGACCGGGGTGGACTGCCAACAAGCAGGTCCTTCTCTCTGTGCTCAGCTGGTGCAACGGGCCAAAGCGTGCAGAATGGTTCACCACGCGTCAGAAATAACAGGCGTGACTCAGCGTGAGCCTCTGTCCTTACTGGGCGTCCCACACTGTTTGCAGGAATGTCCCTGACCTGCTAAGCTGGACAGAACACGGACAGTGCGCTGCGACCCAAGCCGCGTGAAGGACAGCATGATATGGGCCAAGGGTTGGCCAGCTTGTCCTAAGAAGGGTCAGACTCTCACCATCCCACTGCCCTTGAGTCAGAGTCACCTCAGAGCTGGCCCTCCGTGGAGGCTGTAAATCGCACGGAAGGACACTGCCCATTTATCTCCCATGGTGGATGTGAACAGCCAGAGAACAAGCCTTTGGGTGAGCAGTGCAATGCCCTCTGGACCACCAGAGCTCCCTAGGGGTCAGACAGCAGTCATTTCAGGCTCTGGGCGGGCTTGTCAGACTTACTGACCTCTGATGCCGAGGTACAAATGCAGCCAGACAAGATCCTAACAAATAAGTGTGGCATTGTTTCTAGAAACTTGGAGACAAGATCCTAACAAACAAGTGTGGTGTCATGTTTACAGTCTTCTAGGCAGCAGGTCAAATCGGCCCCGGAGTGCTCATGGGCTGGTCCAGGGCAAAGGGCTCGAACGTCATCCTAGTTCAAACCTGCATCTTCACTCTTTCACCTATGAGCTGAGCGCGTCTGGGTATGTTCCTGCCCTGTGGTTCCATTTGTAATGACAAAGGTCCTCACAAGGCTGTTTTGAGTATTAATATGAGTGTGTATTTGGAAGGAACCCAAGTGGTACAATGGTCAGCACTTGACAGCTACCTGAGAGGTCTGCAACCACTCTAAGAGGGAGCCGCTGGCTCAGTAAAGATTAGAGCCTTCACAGAAACCCCCGGGGCACTTCTACCCAGTCCTGCAGGGTCGTCAAGAGCTGGGTTACAGGAAGAACCTGGCCGCAGGGCTAACGGTTCTGAATCATGAACGTTCATTCACCAAACCAACAGTTACACTCGTAACCTAAGCTTTGCCGTATCTGACTGAAAACCAAGTGTTTAAGTATTATTACTTTAATGCACATTTTTAATATGAGGCTTGGCAACTTTTATTCATCTCCCCCAACTCCCTCGCTATTTTCCAAATTAACTCTACAGGAACCTTCAAATTGTTGTGTCAAACTCCAAGAAAACCTATATTGGGATTTTAACTGAAATTATGTTAGTAACAGTTGACATTTGAAATCACGTTTCAGTCTCCCCATCACGAGATAGGAATCTCTCTTTAAGATTGTGGGCTCTTTCAATACGGGCCACAACACAGAAATAATCATCCTCAGTCTACGTGGTCTAGTGGCAAGAAGCTGCGCTGTAATCCCGAAGGCACACAATTCTAATCCACCAGCTGCCCTGTGGGAGAGGGATGGGCAGTCTCCTCCTGTGCGATTCACTGCTGGAGTCGTCAGTTATGGGTGGGTTCTGACTCGCCGGCACATAGCACCACCTGGATCTACAGCTAAGCAGCACTGGGAGTGTGGACGTCATGGCTAAGTTTCTCCTCTTTATTGCTGGCCGGTGGTCACCTTCACCCACGCCATGTCAGGCATGGCGGATTTCTCCCCCTTCTGGGTCCTACTACTTCGAGACCAGCCGCAGGCATGTGTCACCCACCTTGTCGGCCAGGTCCCAGATCCGGGCCGTGCCGTCGTTGCTGGCTGAGATGAAGATGTCCTTGGAGGGGTGCGTGGCCAGGCCCCAGATCTCCCCCTCCATGTGCCCATCAATCAGGATGTTGGAAGCGGCATTTTTTTCACCAACTTCAATGATTTCTCCATCTTTGGTTCCCACTAAAATCTTGCCCTGTTGTAAATAAACGTTACCAGAACAGCTCTCTCAAAACTGCCTTCTCGGGGTGTGAGCATTGAAACAGGAAGAGCCTGGAGGAGTTTTGTTTTTAACAACCGGCCATTCGCTCCTGTAAGGGGCACTACTGAGAGGCGCGGATTGTGAAACTCCATCACATAAACTTAGGGACCGTTGGCAGGAAGGACCGGTGCTTGAAAAAAGACCCTCAGCAGAGAAGACCCTCGACAAGACAGACAGGCACAGTGACTTCCACAACAGCCTTGAGCGTGGCGGAGCGTGTGAGGACGCAGCAGGACCCCACGTGGACGTGGGAGCAAGACAGGGCGAGGTTCCGGTCTGTCATTCACAGGGCCGCTACACGTCATGCGGCCTCCTCCACCTGCAGCCATTCCTCCACCCTCTCTGCTTTTATGAGACATCTGTCCAGGACTCGCCCATCTCCACCCGCTGGCTAACCTCCAGGGACACAGCTCTCTGAAAAGCAGGACAACAGCTTGTTCGTGGACAGCTCAGACTAAAAAGTTCTTCTTGCTGCCACTGAGCTAGGTTTTCCACGTCCTCGAGGGTCTGCCCTGGTCCCTCGGAAGCCTCGTTACCCCTCCTGACGACCGTCTTCAACGGTTTAAAACCATCATCCCAGACTCACAGTGTGGGCCCCGAGTTCTCCCTGGACCAGCCCCTCCCTCATGCAATGGTCACCTAGAAACCAGGTCCACAGACTAACTCAGGCACTGAATGCAAGGCATTAAACAGAGGTTGAAACCAATCCTTCAGAGGAAATTTTAAATAGGAAGTTGGGGGAATATAGAAAAAGAACAAAAAAAACCAGAAAACCCAAACACCCCATGTCTAGGCCCCACCAGAGATTCTGACTGGGCAGCACTGGGCAGCGCCTTACTGGAATAACTCTCAAAAATGCCTTCTTGGGGTGCAAGCAGTAAAACAGGAAGAGCCTGGAGGAGTTTTGTTTTTAACAACTGACCATTCACTCCTTTAAGGAGTGTTACTTAGAGGTATGGTCAGGTCCCAAGGACAGCAGTGTGAAATGGGCGGTCAGAGGACCCATGGGGCCCGGAGAAGTCTGCACAGAGACTGGACGCTGAAAGGCTCCATGGCTGTTTGGAACAAGAAACAACATGTATGGATACGTGGCCAAGGCGTGATTTTAAAGCCAAAGGGTTTGAGTGAATAGTCCGGTGGCCTTCACTTACTGGCCATGTCACCTCCTCAGGCAAGTTATTTCCCATCTCTGTGTCTAAGCATGCATGCCATGCAGAACGTGACCAAGTGTGGGCCGAACTCATGTGATCTCCACCTGGGTGCTGGGCTCAGACGTGACCCCAATTCTTACTGGTGCAGTCCGCAGATGGACTCCCACCTGGCTGACTCAGTTGGGGTCACACACACCTTGGAGGACTGTTTTATGGATGACACAAAGCGTCGCAGCCCCGGGAGAGAACCTAGGCAGTTCTTCCTGGGCTGGGTCCTGTCTGCCGGCCGCCGGCCCCCCTCCCCGCCCCCTCTGCGCCCCTGTGGGAGGGTGTGGGGTGGACTCACCTTCCCCCGGCACACAGAGCGCACGCACTCCACCAGCTGCCCCGTCTCCAGCTGGAAGGCCCTGCAGCGCTTCATCTCCTGGTCCCACAGTTTCACAGCACCTCCTTCCTTGGTCCTAAGAGCAGAGCAGGCGGCGCTCACAGGCTGCTGTTAGCAGGCTGTCTTTGGGATGATTCTGATAAAGCCAAGCCCTGTGGTGGTGGGGGGCTGCCCCCCGGCTTTCCAAGGCTGTGGCCTGCCAGAAGCAGCTCTCTCGCTGTCCACAGTGCCTCTGGTTCCACACCTCCAGCCCTGAGGCCCCAGCCATTCTGACTACCCAGGACCTAGCCCATCCTAACACCTCCCAGACTCTAAACCTGAACTCCTGAGCACCTGCAAATTTTAACTCCCCACGCCTGCTAATTTCCTACAGGGTATCCATCCACTCTGGAGAGAAAGCTTACTGTAATGTGGGAAAGAAGCTGTTTTGTTGGTAGACTGAAACCCTAAGAGAAATGACTCTTGAATCTGTGGATCGTTCCCACGGCTCTCCTCCCGTTTCCTCCCTTCCCCAGAGGGCTGAGAGTGACTCTCCGAGGACCCGGGACACCTCTCCGCAGGTTCTGAGTCCCTAGGACACAGCTCTCCACTTTCCACTCTCCTGGCGGCTGAAACTGGGGCCATGGGAGGGACAAGGCCGGCTCCCAGGGCAGGTAAGTCATGGCAAGTAAAGCAGGCATTTCCCCCACATGGACACGCTGTCACTTTGTCCCCAGGGATCCGCTTACGGCCTCTCCTTCCCTCCGGTGACGATGAGGCCGTCCCGCAGCGTCGTGTACATGGTGAACACGGGGCCCGTGTGCGCCTTGGCCACCAGCCGCACCAGGAAGTGGTCCTTCCAGACATACACGTCCCCGTTGATGGCACCCGTGAACGTGAGGTTGTTCTGGAAGCAGAGTGGGGTACCTTCTACACCACGGCCGTGCACCCCGCCACCTACACTGCACTAAGGGCTCACAGACAGCAGTGAGAACCAGGCGACCTGATCTGCTGGAGGGCAGGTCCCAGAGACAATCATCTGGCTTTGAAGCCCCTCTGTTTTGTCTATGTTGGGCCTTTCCCTCCCCAGTGCCCAGGGCCTTAGTGCAAGGTGGCCACGTATTGCTTAGGAGCATGTGGGGGGGCAGGGCGCTCCGCACAAAGTGGGGGGCCCACAGTTGGAAGGCAGAATGTCCCCAAAGACAGCTTCCTTGCCAGAGGCACCTCACTCTCCAGTTAAGGGTGGTGACTTGGGGATCTGAGGCACAAGGGACAGGCAAAGAGCCACTGTCTGGCAGAAGACAGGTCCAGGCATGCTCAGGGGGATCCCAGCATGCCCCGGGGGGGGGAATCCCAGCATGCACGGGGGGGGATCCCAGCATGCCCCGGGGGGATCCCAGCATGCACCAGGGGGGGTCCCAGCACGCGGCAGGGGGAGAGGAGAAAGATCCCCCGCATTCTCCCTGGCATCCTCTAGCACACCTGGTGTACTCCAGCTTGGGCGAGGGGAATCCAAGTATGCCACAGGGGTGCCCAGCATACTGGAGGGGGGAGTCCCTGTATACCTCGAGGGAAATCCCAGCATATGGGGTACACTTCCAGCATGCCCCCCAGCAGGTCCCCAACATGCTCTCTGACATCCCCCAGCATAGCCTCAGCAGGCTCCAGGAGTCCCCCCCGCCCCCCGGCATCCCCCAGCACTCCCATCATGCTCTGGGCATTGTGGTGTTTCCCAGCATGCCCCAGTAGATCCCCAGCATCCCTCAGCATGCCTTGGGGTCCTCAGCATATCCCACAGTGGGACCTCAGCATGGCCCAGGAGTCTCTGGCATCCCCCTGCATGCCCGAGCTCCCAGCATGCCCCAGCACTCCCAACATGCTCTGGGCGTTGTGGTGTTCCCTATCATGCTCTGGGAAGTGCTCAGAATAGTCCCCAGCATGCCTTGAGGGTCCCCAGCAAATCCCAAGGGGTTCCCCAAAATGCCCCAGGGGTCCCCGCATGCTATGGTAGGGGAAGGATCGCCTCTGTCCTGGGTGAAGGGGCACTGGCCCTCCTGCCCTCTGCAGCTGCCTGGCTGCCCGCCCCACACCCTCCTGGGGAGAACTCACAGCACCGAAGGCCACGGACAGCATCGTCTGCATCTTGGCGGCCTCCATGGACCCGATGACCCCTTTCTTGTACAGCAGGGCGCTGCCCGCCAGGGTCCAGAACTTCATGTGTTTGACTCCAACCGACACAAACTGTGTGTCCGAATCGGGGCGAAATTCCACCACAAATATGCGCTCCAGGTGGCCCCCACGGCTGGCAACCCTGGCTCCTGCGTGGGGGAGAGGGACGCTCAGGCCTGGGACCCCTCTGATGCCCAGCTTTTTAGAGATTTTTCTCCCTTTAGCAGCAAGCCCCTTCAGCCTCTACCCTCTGCAGAAAAGAGCGCCAGGCCTTGGAAGTTTCTAGAGCTGCAGAGGTTCCCTCTCCACCTAGTTACATCCACACGGGAGAGGAAGGCTGGCCCAGGGTGTGGAAGCTTCTAGATCAAAAAAGGGCCAACTAGCTTCAGGGCATTCCCCCTACCTGCCACCCAGCTCCAGCTGCTCAACAGTGGGGCAGACGGTGGGTTCAAACCACCCACCTCCCAGTCAGCGGCGCACACCCCAACTACGCCACCACTGTGGTCAACAAATTACTAGCCTTTGCAACGGCAGCTACTGCCTGCCCCGCCAGGGTTCTTGGAGGATAAGGACAGTTCCAGCTTTACCAGGTGTTGGTAAGAATAAAAGGATGGACTTCAGTGAAGGCCCAGCACAGGACCAGGCACGGGAAGTAGGGGAGCAGCGGAAAAGCCTCAGCTGTGGCTGCTGGTACTTTCTTATTTTAGCATCGCTTCACTTTCTAGTGTTAGCCCATGTTTTAAGCCTCATCTGTTTTGATCAGATCATGATTTTTCAGTCTGCACATTTTACATTTTCATTTTAGATCTTCGAATTTCTTTCAACTTGCTTTCAGGTTTTAGGTTCAATTTCTTCACAAACACCTACCTTCCTTTTACTGGTCACTCAAATCTATTTCTTCTCCCTCATAGATTAATGCTTATTGTTTTGTAATAAAATGCCTTTAATAGTGTGTGGCGGGAATTCTCAGCCACTTCCTAACGCAATCCCTTTCTAAGTGAGCCTGGGAGACCCACAGCTACCTCCCCTCGTGTGTATCGTCTCTCTCTGCATGTGGAACCTTTGACTTACTGTAATAGACGGTTCACTACCTAGAACTTGGAGGTTTTCAATCCATGATCTCAAAGGACACCATAAATGAACTAAAGAGAATCAACTAGAGAAAAACCTTAACAACGCTTACAAAAAATGAAAGATTAATCAGTAAGGAAGTCCAAATCACAAGTAAAAGAACCCTTCCACCTTCAGTAGAAGAGGGAATTAAATAGTGAGTCATGCAAAAAGCAATCTAAGGGCTTAATAAAGAGCTAAAAAAGAGGGTCACTCCCGTTAGTCATAAAGGAAATACAAAATAAGACCAAGAAATGCACTTTTCTTCTAGTCACTTTTGTATTGGGTTTTCTCTCCTTGCTTTGATCACACGAATACATTTAGTCATGGAAAGACCCGTTTCCCCTCTTTGCAGTCAATTCTAGGCTGCTTAACACAAATTTTACTCAAATCTCTGGTGTCAGGTGCCATCAGCTTGGAAGTGACGTAGAGCTGACCCTCCAGCTGGTTTTCAAAGGCTGTAAATGGTGTGCACATTTTTCCCAGCAGCTGATGGATCCAAACCACAATGCCTCTGGGCCAACAGCACAGCTCCTTAGCGTTAGGCCACCAGAGTTGCCGATACAACTCTCTAGGACCCAGCAGTAAGCATTTTATGCAAGAACTAATTCCTTTCTTCATTTTTTTTGGTGTGTGTGTTTATTTTTACCTACATACACACCATTAAAGGTAATTTATATTTGGGGGGAAAATCCCCTAATAAATGAGGAATTAATAATATGCTTTTTAAGAAAATACCAGGAACTTATCCAGAGAAGAAACAAATCTGTCTTGGAGATAGTACAGAGAAGAATGCCCCCTGGGTGCAAGGATGCTAAGCCTCCGTCTCCCATCCTTTGGGCGTGATAGCAAGAGGGGCCAGTCCTTGGAGGCGGCCAGTATGCTTGGGAAAGCAGAGGGTCACTGTAAACAAGTGGCCACGTCAGGGGGCTTGATCACAGCAGGTGTGACGGGGATGACATGGGCCAGCCAGTGTTCCCTTCTGCTGCAGGTGAGGTCTCTATGGGTTGGAACCTAATTGACAGCGTCTAGCAACAGTGACAACAAAACCGCCACCATCCCAAGAATAAACTTCTCTTCTTCCTTTCCAGTCCTTTCCTAATCCGTGGGACACTCAGTGCACACCTACATCCATCCAGTGGGAAACTGTCATCCCACCGTTAGTTCATGCTGCCATCTGCTGGAGGCCTGTAAAATGGTGTGAATCTGAAGACAAGGCTTTCCTAACACCAGCTCCAGAGGCCACTTGGGACATGTGTCCTCCCACTAATTGCATCAAAAGTTTGGAGGGTTCCTCCCATTTAAAACACCTTTGATTACGGAAAACACATGGTTTCAATAAAACCTCAAAGAGAAAATAATCTGGTCTTGAAAGGGCTGAACAAGAGGTATGTGCCATGGCACAGTCAGGGCAGTACCTGCCCTAAGGGATGGAGGGAGGGAGTGAGAAGAGTGAGCGTGTACGAGGCAAGGCTGCTCCGGGGGCCAATACGATAGCTTTCCAGAAACAGACTCGGTCTAGGCTACAGGCGAGCACAGAGCTAGTGCCATGGAAGAAAAGTCACGTCTCTCCTTAGAGAAAGGACTTGCAGTGAGAGCTTTCGAGCAGTAATGAAGGCCACATCCCTACAAGCGGCAGGCAAGGATGCACAGCCTGCTGGGAAGTGCTGGGAAGAGGTACTCCATGGGATTAACTGGATGAAACTACTCTCATTCTTCCAATCCTGCAACCAGTCTGCTTTTGAAAATGCTCAACTTCTTACCAGGGGGATGGGTCTGTGCAA